TCCAATAGTTCAATTTTAATCTTTTATTTATTTATTTATTTTTTGGTTGGTTGGTTGTGGGGCCTGAACTCTGGGCCTGGGCACTGTCCCTCAGCTCTTCGGCTCAAGGCGAGCGCTCTGCCACCTGAGCCATAGCGCCTCTTCCTGTTTCAATTTTAATCTTGAAATGAGCATCTTCCTCCCTAGACTCAAGGTTGCCACCCCCTCCTAAGAGAGAACCTCTTACTAACACACACGCACACACACACACACACAGAAGGAGGAAGCCGGCTGCGGTCAGGCTGCCAGGCCTGTACACACGCACACACACACAGGAGGAGGAGGAAGCCGGCCTCGGTCAGGCTGCCAGGCCTCTTACCACACACGCACACAGGAGGAGGAAGCTGGCCGCCGTCAGGCTGCCAGGCCTGTACACACACGCGCGCACACACACACACACAGGAGGAGGAGGAAGCCGGCCGCGGTCAGGCTGCCAGGCCCCGCCCTACCCCCCCCCCCGCAGGGGGAGCAGGGCCCGCCTTGCCACCTGTCCCTCCGCCGGCGGCGGCCCAGAGAGCAGGGAGGAGAGCAGAGAGCTGCCCTCCTGTCGATCAGCGCCGGCCCGACCGTCCTGGAGGTTAGGGTGTCAGGAACAGGCCAAGGATCCGATCGTTCCCAGGATTTCTGGCAGCTCTGAGCTAGGGGATCCCCAAGGAGGGAGGCCCGGCTTCCGCTGGGAGCTTGGCGCTGCGCCCGCGTTCGCCCTGCTGCCGGCCCTGGTCCCTGGGACACGCCGCATGCGTTTTCAGAGCTTGCCCGCCCCAACCTGGGTCAGGCCTCCCTGCTATGTGCGGGTGGCGCCCGCTTCACGGGCCGACCCTGCACTAGGCCCCGCCCATTCAGGCCCCGCCTATGGTGGGCTGGGCCGCCCTTCACTAGGCCACACCCATTCAAGCTCCGCCTATGGTGGGCTGGGCCGCCCTTCGCTAGGCCACACCCATTCAAGCTCCGCCTATGGTGGGCTGGGCCGCCCCTTCAGCAGGCTCCACCTACGGGCTGGGCGGCCCCGGCACTAGGCCCCGCCCGTTCATGCTCCGCCTATGGTGGGCCAGGCTGACCAGGCCCCGCCCATTCACCAGGCTCTTCCTATGGCTCCACCCATCCACCAGGCCCCGCCCCTCCCCACAGCTGCCCAGCGCGGCTCTGGCGCTGAGCTCCACCCGCTCATTGCTGGGCTGCACCCACGCCGCTCCAGACCCACTGGTCTCCTGCTGGGGCTCACAGCCCCTCGCTGGCCGCGGGGGTCTTGCTGCTTCGGTGGGTCGTCCCAGGATGTCCGTCCTGCGCCCGCCTTGCGGCCCGCGGGAGTTCGTGGAGGGCCCAGGGGCGCGGCAGGGCCTGCGAGGAGAACGCTCGGATCCCTGCGGGATCCCACAGGCCGCCCCTCCGTCCCGCCCGGCCTCCCTGCCCGCTTGTCCCTAGGCTGGGGCCTGGACGGGGTGGGTGCGGTTGCCGCCTCTGCGGGAGGCGTCTGGGCCTGGGCGCCCGCAGGGCCTCTTCCCTCTGCCCTCCGTGTGGCTCCTGATCATCCAAGGCTTTTCGAGCCGGAATGCATGGCCCAGCAGCACCAGGCTGGCTGAGAGGATGAGGGAGGGGGGAAGGGTGCCCTTCAGGGACTCCGACTGCCAGAAGAGCTAAGCCCGCGCCAGGCTGCTCCCGAGCCCGCCTCCCTCGGGGCTCTCAGTGGCGGCCAGCTGAGTGGTCATGCTCACGGACGCACCCTCCCCGGCCCTGCACAAGGTGGACGCCACCAGCTAGAGCTACCGGGGGTGGGGTGGACAGTGGCCAGGGAGGGTGTCAGGGTCCTAGAGAAAAGCAGCATGGGGGTGGGGGATGTGCCAGACGGGCCTGCACACGTGCGGTGGGGACCCTAAGTAAATGCAATCAGGGCATGTCTCAGCTCTGTGCAACACCAAAGTTGCTGTGTGTCCCCACCCAAGCACCCCTCCCTCTGGTGGCTCGGTCCCCCGGAGACTCCCTGCATTTCTGTGTCCCGGACAAGGGGAGGCCCCAGCTCCCGGCAGCCATTTCCCCTTCAGCGAACCTTAGGAAGCCAGCTGAAGGGCCATCAGCCCCTTCTGAGCCGGCGCGGCCGGGTGCTCCCAGCACAGGCTGTGTGGTCTGCCAGGCATGGCACACTCAGCCGCCAGAGCTCCTGGGCGAGCCGCCCCGGCTCTCCTGACCCCCATCCTCAGGTTGGGCTGCTACACTGGTGCCAGTCACAGCCTCTTGGCCATCACAAGCCTGACTGCTGGCTTCCTGACACAAAAGCACCTGCACTCTCTAGAAGGCCCCTTGGGAAGGGGAAGGCTGCCATCTGGAATGGAACAGGTAGTGGTCAGGGTTCAGTCGGCCTAGAGGCCAGGCCTCAGCCAGCTGTCTGCCACAGGCCCAGAACTGTGCAACCCGCACATTGTCTGCTTCTATGGCCGGCACCCCACAGCTGCCCGGGGTGACCAGACCCTACTTTTTTTTTTTTTGGGTCCAGTCATAGGGCCTGAACTCTGCTCCTGGG